GGGGGGGCGGGGGGGCGGGGGGAAGAAAAAAAATCGAACCCGGCTGAAAGTCCTTCTCCTTTGCTCCCTGTTTTCTCCCGTGCAGCCAGACATTGTTCTCCGGGAACGTGGCTTGGCTGCGCTTCCCTCCCAGCACCAGCACGGCTCTCCAGCGGGCCAGAGCCACCACGGTGCCGCGCTGGTGGGCTTTGCCATCACTCCTTTGCATTTCCTTTTCCATCGAGTCGGCTTTGTCAGTTCTTTTCCCCCGCCTCTGACACGGCGTCACCTCCTGCGCTCCTCGGCGAGGGCTCCGCGGGGCCGCAGCCGGCGCCAGCCCCGGGGGCTGCAAGGACAAGGACCCCCCACACTGTCCTGGGCTGCTGGTGGCACCAGGGAACGGGGACAGAGCTGGCGTAAAGGAAACCAAAGGGAGGACACGGGACAGCGAAAGGACCACTACTTCAGTTTCCTAAAGCCTTCGAAGAAGCTGCTTCGGAAGAGGGGAGCGGCTTCACCGGATGGGAGCGGAGCGAGCCCCCGGCTGGGAGCGCAGCTCTGCGGGGAGCGGCAGGGAGATCGTGGGGGGCGAGCAGTGGCGATCCTGCCGGAGCCAGGCGGAGGAAGGAAAAATCAGGAAGGAGAAGGAAGGGAGAAGAGGGTTTCCTCGGCTGCGGGGCGGCCCGGGGCGGCGGGGCGCGGGGGGCTATTTGTAAGGCCGGAGGAAGCTGGAGACTTTGGAGCGCAGGAGTTTGATGAAGGAGCGGGGCAGCATCTCCTTGTGCTTCTCTGTGTACTTGAAGTAGTTCTGGGGGTGTGCCAGCACGTCGAAGAAAGCTTTGATGAGCTTCTTGTCCTGCAGGGAAGCCGAGCCAGAGGGAGGTTCAGCATCCTCCCCGTGCTCCCCTGAAGCCCCAAGTGCAAGGAGAGCAGGAGGCATCCCCGAAAGGAAGGATGCTCCTGCATCCCCCACAGCCCTGGGTAACACAGACTTGGGGGCTCACCTTGAGGATCTCCTGGTGGTTCTCGGAGGCGTAGAGCCTTCCATCCCGCACGATGTCCTCCACCAGCTGCTCGTAGTCCTCTGCCAAAAAACACAGGGCATGAGCTGCCCCTTGTCCCCAAACCTCTGGCCTCCATCCTTCAGTCCACTCCCCCCAAACACACAGGAGGTGTGAACTGGATCCCAAACTGTGGGGAGGAGAAGCACCAGCGTGCTGGGATGGCATTTCCATCCCCGTGCTCACCGTCGTAGGTGACATAGGGGATCTGGAAGCCCCGAGCACTGTTGGCCTCACTGGTTTTGAAGTTGATCCAGAGCTTGCGGGAGCGGGCGGTGAAGGCGATGGGTCTCTCATAGGTCTGGCAGGTCTCATAGGTGGTGATGGAGGATGGGGAGGCTGCAGGGAACAGCAAAGGGACACAGGATGCTGCTTGCCCATCAGCAGAGCTACCCCCATCCTTACGGGGTCAAGGGTGGCATCAGGGATGGGAATTGTCCATGCTGGGCAAGGCTGAGTGCACCCTAACCCTCATGTTACCAGGAATTGCTATTCCTTCCTTGCTCTGGAAAGCACCAAATGGGGCTTTTAACCCCCAAAATCAAGGCTGAGGCCCAGGTGTGCAGCCCAGCACAGAGATCCAATAAGACACCGGGATGGCAGGGTGCTGCTCATCTCCCCACTCACCCTATTCCCAAAACTCCCCTCCTGCTACCTGGGCATGCACCTTTCTCCCTCTCTGCCAAAGCCCAGCCTTTTCCTCCCCAGCTCCTCCCCTGAGCACCGTGGCCAGCTCGGTTACCTACAGTTTTTCCGCATGACCAGGACGTCGCCGCACTCATCCTCGGAGGGGAGGAAGATCTCCGGCACCACGATGAGGATCTTGCGCTTGGGCGGGGGGTTGATGTTCCAGGTGCACTCGATGTTGGCAGGGTAATTGCCAGGGTAGTTGGGGGACTCGATGTAGCCCGTGTACTCACCCAGCTCCCCTCCACACTGCCGGTCTGCAAGGCAGGGAGACCAGTTCAGCTGGGAGCCAGGGCATGGGGCACTGGGGGGGGGAGCATTCCACTGGGCAAGAGGGGCAGTGTCCCACTAGGCACCCCCCGTGCCTGCCTGCATGCACAAAGCACTGAAATGACCCCAAACTCTGCAGGGCTTTTAAATACTTTTGAAGGAGGACCCCACACCTGTCCCCCCCCCTTCTGTTGCACCCCAGCTCGCCTACTTTTGCACTGGGACACCGAGGTGGAGCCGTCGAAGTCGGTGGTGGTGTTGCCAGGGCAGGAGATGCAGTAATTCTGCCGGAAATCGGGCTGGTAGGTGCCCACGGCGCAGCGGATGCAGCGGTGCACGCTCGTGTTGTAGTAGTGCCCAGGGGAGCACTGAACTGGGGGGTCAGAGAGCACAGGGGGCTGTGTCAGCTGCTGGCACAGCCCTGCTGGGTGGCCCCGTCCTGGGGACCAGCTGTGACCTACCTTTGGTGTCGCAGTCCTGGAAGGAGAGGGCTCCCTCGTGGCGGGTGGTCAGCCCCCCGCCGCACGGGAAGCAGAGTGCCCGTCCCACCTCGGGCTGGTAGGACCCACGGGGACACGGCTGGCAGGGCTTGAAGCCATCAGCAGAGTGCTGCCCAGGGGGACACTGACCTGCAGGCACAGGCATTGTTCAGTCCTGGCACCCCACATGCCTGGGGCTTTCCTGCCCCATACCCAGATCCTCCTCCCCCTCAGCCTCGGCAGCACCAGTACACCCAGAGCAAGTGCTGCCCTTCCGGGGGTCCCCTCTAAATAATAAACACCCAAACCAGCAACTCCTGTGAGCCCTGGGGATGATCAAGACTTTCCTGTCTGCTGCCTAATGGTTGAAATTGCAGCCCTGCACATCCCGAGTGTGCCTCGAGCCCCCCCTGTGCCCTCCTTACCGGTGCAGCCGGTGATGTTGGTGGCTCCTATGGGTCCGAAGGTGTCTCCGCGGGGACACAGGTCACAGGAGAGCTGCCCCTCCTTCTCCTGGTAGGTGCCGGGGGGGCAGGGCACGCACTGCTCCGTCTGCCCGTGGTAATAGGTTCCCTGCGAGCAGCTGACTGAGAGCCGGGGGGGACGTCGGTGATGCTGTGGGGGCTGTCACCGCCGGGTCCCCTCGTCACCCCGCCACGCTCCTTACCACACTTGCTGGCCAGGCGCTGCTGGCCCGGCCCACAGCTCTCCTGGCGCTCCGGGGCCACGCTCAGCTTCCGGGCCACCTCGTACTCCATCCCTGAGAAGCGCAGCAGGAACCGCTCCTGGTTGATGGATTTCTTCAGGGCTTTGATGGCCGACTTCAGCTTTTTCTCCACTCTCTGTCGCAGGCAGTGCAGGTTGCAGCTGGCTGGGTGGTGCAGAGGGGAATGGGGGTACAGGAGGAAACAGGCATGCAGTAAGAAGGGAGGGGTGGAGAGGGAAGCTCAGAAGCATTAAAACCAGCCCCCAAATGCTCAGCTGCAAGTGCTACCCAGCATGTGCCAATCCAGTGCAAGACGAGGACTGGTTTATCTCTCCTTGCTGCATGGGGATGCCATCGTGCCCCTGATCCCACCACCTTACCTGCACCCAAGATGGGTCAGGCCAGTGCTGTGCCCACCTGTGATCTCCTCGGGCTTGATCTCGGCCTCGAACTCCAGCGTGATGCGTGTCACCTCTTTGCTGGGGGAGTTGCGAGCCCGGCGCCCCTTCCCCTTCTTGGACGAGTCGCACTTGAGGTTGACGAAGGTGACCTGGCAGTCAGAGCACGGTGCCGAGCCACCTGCACGGGGGGGACAGGTCAGCACCCCATCCCTGCTGGGGCACAGGCACCCCCACCTCCCCTCCACCACACCTCACCTTGCGCCCCGGCCTTCCCGGCCTCCTCCTGCTTGCCCTTGGTCCGGGGGTGCAGATGGCACTTGGCATCCTTGATCTTGAAGGAGGCTTTCTGCTTGACGGGCGCAGCCACAGTCTCTGAAAGAACAGGTGGGTGCTCAGCAACCTGGCATGGCCCAGCCAGGCTGGTGGGCACCCCAGGAGCCCCCTTACCGAGGCACTGCTGGCTGCTGTTGGTGGGTCTGTGCTGGCTGCCCTGCCGCAGGACGGGGGTCCCACAGCTCACCGTGTAGCTGCTGTCAGACTCTGTGAGGGAGTAAGGGGAGTTGGCTCTGCCAGGGTGATGCAGGCAAGCTGTGCTGTGGGGGGATGATGCCCAGCACCCTGCCATAGAGATCCTGCAGCAGGGACCTGGCTTGTGCATCTACACCCAACAGTGAGCCCTCCTAAGCAACAGCATCCCTCCCTCCTGCACTCTGGCTGTGTAGCCACTCCTCCCCGCTCAGTTTAGCCATGCAAGGAAATGGGAACCACCCTGCTCATGCTGGTGGTGGCACTAGTGCCAGTACCTGGCAGGAATCGGGCCTTGGAGGTGCAGGAAAGGGCACAGCTGTCCTTCTTGCCCATCTTGTTGCAGGTGAGGGTGGCCCGTGGTGGCACCGAACCTGGCAGGCACTTCACCAACTCCAAGGGACAAGCACCAGCTGGTGATGACAATCAGGGATGCCCATGGCTGGCACAGCTCAGAGACCCCAGAAACCCCCACCCTCCAGCTCATGGGGGATTCACCAGGCAGGAGAAGGTGCCAGAGCGTAGCACAGAGACCCCAGCCTGGCATCCCAAAACCCCCAGCTCCTCCAGCAGCCCTGCTGGCTCCTGGCCTGACGTACCCACACAGTCCTTCTTGTTCCAATGCAGCTTGCAGCCAGCAGGACAGGTGCACTGGTAGCTGCCAGGAGTGTTGATGCAGCCAAATTTGCAGCCACCCCGGTTGATACTGCACTCATCGATGTCTGTGGGGACAGAGGAAGGGGCAGTAGGTGAGGGGCAGTGGGTGAGGGGCAGTGGGACCCCTCAGCTCTGACACTGAATCACTGCATTGTCTCAGAGCTGGGATTCTGGATGGATAAATCCAAGCCCAGCTGGGACAGGGGTCTGCACCTCAGGGCATTTCCAGCAGTGCCACCTCCCCACAGCTGTGCCAGCTCCATGGGGATAAGGGACAGCTTGACTCCCGGTGTCCCCAGGGGCTAGGCAGGGAGGGGTGCAGCCCATCCAGGCTGGGCCCAGCCCCAGCCCCTGGTAGGCTGGGGGCACAGCAGATGGAGCCGACATGGAAGCATTTAGAAAAGTGCTCAGTCAGCCCTGGTCGCTCTCTTCAGCGGGGACCCCCCGGCCTGAGATGATCCTCCAGGTCAGGGATGGAGCTGCCCCTGCCAGCGCCCTCCCTGCCCAGCTCCCCCTCACACGGTGGGAGCCATCAATCCCTTTGCTGCTGGGCCACCTCAGACATCCCCAGGGGCTGTGCTGGCTCACGCTGACCGCGTAGCTCGGAAACATGAGGAGGGTCGCTGACCCCCGCCCGCCGGGCAGCACTAGAGCAGCCGGGCTCGTCACCCCGGGCCGCCGGCACCGCTGCCGCAACACGCTCCGGCAGCCCCTGCAAAGCACGTTCCATCCACCTCCCCGCTTCCCGGGAGCAGCACGCCCCCGCCCTTGGGAGCTATCTGCCTTGTGAAATTTAAATCAAACCCTTTTGATGTTCCCCTTCCCACCCCGTCACAGCTCCCTGCCAAAAACGCCGGGGATTTCTCCCTCTCTCCCGCTGCAGACAAGTCGCAAATTGTTCCTGTCGCTCTGTTTGAAGTTGCAGACACCAGCGAGTTTGGCTGTGAGCCCCGTCCCTGCCCGGCCTCAGCCCGGGGTGTGCGTGGAACCGACCTTCCCCACGGGCCCTGGGGGTGGGCAGTGTCCCCTGGGGTCCCCCAGCAGCCGCACCGCGGCGGTGACAGGCTGCCAGCAGCCAGCCAGCCCTACCTCCGCAGTGGGTGAGCCCGTAGAGCGTGTAGCCCTTGTGGCAGAGGCACTGGAAGCTGCCGGGGGTGTTGATGCACAGGTGGTCGCAGGTCCGGTCGAAGGAGCACTCGTCGATGTCTGGAGGAAGGGCAAGGGGAGGAGGTGAGAGCTGGCACGGCAGAGGGGCTGTCCCGGGCACAGGACTGTCCCCTTCCTGCTCCAGCTGCTCCAGCAGGCTGAGGGCTGTGCTGGGATGCTGTGGAACCCTGCACTGGAATCCTCCAAGGGTCCAGAACCAGATTGCTCTGGGCATTCGGTACCATTCAGTACAATTCTGGGCATTCAGGATGCTCCAGAGCCCTGTGCTCCCTTCCCCAAGCTCCCTGTCACCCACTGCACCAGCACCCCCCTGCCACAAGCTCCTGCAGCCCCTCTGCACCCCAAACGGGACAAACAGGGCCAGCATCCTGTCCCTGGCACGGGAGGGATGCAAGAGCCCCAGGCTGCTGCCCAGCCAGGGCAGGGAGGGATCGGGAGGATGCCAGGAAGGGATCAGGAACGCTGTGCGGGCAGGTCCTGCCCCGGGGACGGTGCCAGCAATGTCTGCTCGGCCCCGTGGGCACCTCGCCGGGGCAGGGAGGCCTCGGTTGGGAGGTGAACCCAACCTGGTGGGCCGGAGCATCATTTCATTGGCTTCATTAAGTTAATTGCTGCACTCACGTCAAACTCCCGGAGCACAGAACCTGGACGGAGATGAAAGCAGTGGCAGCCCCGGAGCCTGCCAGCCCCCTCCTTCCCCGGCCCCGTGTTTTCAGGAGGCAACACTCAGGCTCATGCACACCTGCCGTGCTGACCTCGGCCGTGGGCTGCGGGGGCAGCAGTGACCTGCTGGGCTTATGTGGGATGTGTAAAAGATGTTGGGATAGGGAGAAAAAGGTGGAAGTGCCTGTGGAGTGAGCAGGAGGCATCTTCTCCCCATTCCTGCCCTCCAAGAACTGGGAACCCTGGCATCTTTCTAATTGCTGGCTTTAACTCTGCAAGAGCCCACAAGTTTCCAGCTCTGAGGCTGAAGGGCTGAGCCCCAAAGCAGAGCCTGAATCCAGCACTAATCCCCTGAAGGATGTATGCAGTGCACAGGAAGGGCCAGAGGAATGAGCAGCCGGGGCAGCACTTCTGCAGCAGCAGCCATGGGAGTGCAGGCAGGGGCAGGGCAGGGGGCCTGGGCACTCAGTGCCCCTTACCTTGGCAGTTCCTCTCGTTTATGAGCAGCTTGTAGCCTTTCTTGCAGCTGCACTCGAAGCTGCCCACCGTGTTCCTGCAGATGTGGTCACAGCCGCCGTTGTTGAGCCGGCACTCGTCAATGTCTGGTGGGGACAAGGGACACCCAAGGGTCACACCCTGGCTGGGATGCACGGCCAGGAGAGCCCAGTGCTCTCCTCGGGATGCTGTCCCCACCACGAGCAGGACAATGGAGCCCTTTGGGCTCTGATGGTCAGCAGGGGAACATGGCTGACGTGACTTGTTTTCCCACTAATCACAAAATTTACTGTTAGGAAACAACCTCTGAAATGGAAGGAGACCAGGAGGAGGCAGCAGCCTGCCCTGTCCCTCCATCCCCCAGTGCTGGGGCAGCAGCTCTGCCTCGCTGGGGCTGAGATTTCTTTTTATGACTGTGAGGGAGCAAGCTGTAAACCTGCCTGCAGCCATAATAAAACCCCAGACACAGGGGACGTGGCTCTGGGTTATTGCACATTGCTGGAAACTGCAGAACTGGAGAGGGGTGGATGCTCTGATAAAATACCAGGGACAAGGGGCTCTGGAAGCAGTCAACAGGTAGACAGGCAGCCAGAAGAGGGATAGGCTTTCCTTTCAGCAGGGGTCAAGTTCTAAGAGCTGCCAAAAGACACAATGCAGGCACTGGCCAGCCCTGAGGGGGGCAAGTTTGGGGTGCAGGGAAAGCAGCCTGGACTGCCCTCCTGGCAGGGACAGGTGGGGGGGATGCTGGTGGGACGTGCAGCATCTCGGGGTGTTCTCCCCCATGTGGGACCTGGTGCTTGGACCTGGCTGGGCAGTGTCCCAAGAGGGACCTGTGCATCTCACACTCCCAGAGCAGGTGTGCATTCCCTGCACATCCAGCCCTTCCTGGGGGGCAGCTCAGGCAGTGGGAAGGAGTGAAATGGGACAGGACCCCCTAGCCCCACAAGGGCTATGCCACTGCCTCAAACTTGACCTGACCCCCTTTTCCTCCTCCCCACAGGCTTCCCAGGGGCACGGGGCCAAGCATGGTGCCTGCAGCAAGGCATCCCAGTCCCTGTGCAGGGGGGTGATTCCTGTCCCCACCCCACGGATGCAAACACCAAGCCAGTGAGCACTGGGGGCAATGTCCAGCTGAGCTAAACCTGAGCCTTTTCTGAGGGCACTGAGGACACAACGGGGGCCTGAGGCACCCAGGGGTGAGCAGTGAGCCCCCAGCCCCACTCACACCCACCTACCTTTGCACGTCTTCCTGTCGGGCTGGAGCATGAAGCCCATGGGGCAGCTGCAGTGGACGCCGGTGGCCGCGTCGTGACACTTGCTGTCACAGCCCCCGTTGTTCACAGCACACGTCTCTGCATGGCAAGGAAGAGAAAGGCTGGGGTGAGGGACTGGTGTTCAAAAAGCTGGGGGAGCCACGCCACCTAGATGTCCCCCATGCCACAGCCTGGGAGTGGCAGTGGGTACAAACCTCCCTGCAGAGCCCATGGAAACCTCCCTTGGCTCTCACAGCACAGCAACGAGGCCACAGAGCCGTGAAATGATGAACACATGGGGGCTGCTGTGCCCCAAAACAGGGCCTCGTGGAGGCCACTTCGGCAGCTCCAGAGAGGGGGAATTCCATTTCCCAGGGACAAAGTCAAAGCACTTGTGCAAAAGCAGCCAGACACAGGTCCTGCCAGGCTGCAGCTCCCAGGGATGTGAGTGCACAGCCCCAGCCCCCTGGTGGGGTGGCAGGGGAGTCCTGTCCCCCTCGCTGTCACCAAGCCACCGAGCCACAAAGCCACGGGTGACCCTGTGCTGTCAGTCCCTGACTGTCACCCACTGCTCAGGCACGGTGACTGGTCCAGTGTCTCAGGCTAATTTGGGAGACACATCATATAATTAAAACACACACGCATCAGTGGAAAAAAAACCCAATTGAAAAAAAAAAAAAAAAAGAGCTAATTATTTCAGTATTATCAAAGTCAGCTGTTGCTGGTAGGACTAGAAGGGACACTAATTTAAATGAAGCATTTTCAGCTTGACAGCTTCCCTGTGAGATCAATCCTCAATTTCAACCCTAACCACCAGAACAATGGTTTGAAGTGCATTAAGTTGTTCACAAAGGATAATAAAATATTCCTTTCAGAAGGCTGGTTGCTTGGATAAATGAGGCATTTGGGCTTCAAGGAACCCAAGATGAAAATGCCTTGAAGAAATTCCTTGGAAAGAGCAAATCCCAGGTTCTCCTGCTCTTTGCAAGCGCCGCATGGGGCAGGAATGACTGAACCATCCAACCATTCGCCGCGGGGCCCAGGAGCTGGGATCGCTCTGTGCTCGTCTTGCCACTGCTATTTTTATGATGTCCCATAATAAGAGAACAAAAGGGACCGTTTTATGAAATTAATCGCCAGCACAATTACAAAACCTAACGGCAGGGGAAGGATTTCTGCAGATATTATTCCTCCAGCCAGGTCCTCGCGCTTCTGGCCCAGCCGTGCCAGGGACACGGGGCGGGTGACACCGCCCAGGGGAAGGGAAACTTTCTGAAAGGCCAGTGAGTCATTTGTCTAACGCCAGCCTTTGTTCCAGCAGCTGATGCAGAAGCAGCCCGGGGAGGATTGATTTAACAGGGTCACCGCTGAGATGAGACGATTGGTTTGGCTCAGGTGCTGCTGCCAGCGGGATGGAGCTGGAGAAGCAGCTGCAGCAGGGAGGACGGAGCTCTCCAGAGAATGTGGTGCCCTGGGCATACTGTCATCGTGCTCACAGCCTCCTCCAGCACTGTGGCACCCCTCCTGGCTGCTTTGCACCTTTGGGAATTTCACCTGAGATTAAAGCCAGTCCCACCCTGTGGCGCTGCAGCTGCCCAGGGTGGGCATTGGGTATGAGCTCAGCACGGCCAGAGCACCACTGCAAACCCCTCTGTGAAGTGGGGGACCCTGTTCTGGGTCTGCAGAAAGCTTGGAGGGGGCTGCTGGGGTACCTGTGAGGCAGTGGAGGTTGGTGGCACGGGGCTGGGCCCCGGAATTGCCCTGGGGAGCAGCAATTGTTCGGCGGAGCTGGCAGCCCAGGGCTGCTCCCAGCCTGGCGTGACTCACCAGCCACACAGGGCTTTGGTGAGGCCTCCATCGCTCAGGCAGGGAGAGGACAAAGCTTCACACACAAACACACACACTCAGACTCTTCTCCACCCTCCTCCATCCCAGTGTCACTGCCTGACTGCTGTGCCATGGCACTCCTCGCCCTGCTCAGCACCCTCAGTGCTGGAGACACTCTGGTCTCACCTCCACCTTCTGAGAAGTGACAATCTCAGGAGGATGGGAGCCCACGAGCCAGAGGGGATAACAGCTGGGCTGGCTGGAGTGTGGTGATGGCACGGATCTGGGTTCCCCCCCTTCTCCCACCCCTGTGTGAAAGGCTCTTCAGAGCCCCCCAAAAGCTGCAGTCTGTGCTCCCTGTGCTGGTGAGCTGAGCTCCCACAGCTCCTGGGTGTGCCAGGAGTTTGCCTGCACCCAGCACATCCAGGAACAAGATTCCCAGATTCCCCACCATGAACAAGTTGCTGCACCTTCTGCCTCAGTTTCCTTGGAGGCAGAGCAGAGGCATCACCTTACCTTTGTGAAGGGCTTGGAGACCCCACGGGGATGCAAAGAAATCCCTGGGGAGTTGCCCAGCCCTGTAAAGGGCCACTGCTGCAGCTCTGGGCTGAGAGCCACTGTGCGTGGCGAGGCCAAACCCTGGGACACCCTGAAGGTCCCAGAGGGGACCATCCTTGAGTGGGTGGGCTCTAGGAAGGGATAACTGGGAATGCACAGCGCAGAGATGGGCACAAGCATCCCCCTCCCCACCACGCAGCTGCTGGCAGCCCACTGTGAGCTCCTCCTGGGTGTGGGGGCAACCACTGCCACAGCCACTGGAAAGCAGATTGTCACCCCTGGCACCGGGCTGGATCCACCAAAGCAGCGTGAGAGCCCCGTCTCATGCAAGCACAGCAGGGGGAGGGTTCCCTGCTGTCCCCCAGCCCAGCTCCGGGCTGGCCTGGCGGGGTTTGGAAGCAGCAGCGGGGCAGGGTTAGTGAGACATGCGGTTAGCGCAGCAGCTCAGCCCCCGAGCCCCGCTATGATCTCCAGAGGAGAGACCATCTACGGTTAGACCCCTTCGTAGAGATAGAGAGAACAAAAATATTTACCATTAGAAAACGTCTCAAGGATAACGTGTTGCTGGAAGTGTCTCTCCCCTGTTTAACATTATAAAAAAGTGATTTAGAAACAGTGTCCAGCAGGGAACTTGGTTGGTGTCACACATCAATGAGTTCAACTCTGCTGCATTTCCAGCCTGGTGGAAACTGTCCCTTTGGGCTTTTTCTCTCCCACCTCCCAAGCATTCCACTGAGTCCCTCAGCCTCTCCAAACCCCCTCCAGCTGTGCTGGGCTGGTTGGAGCCCCATGCGAGCGGGAGAAGCGCGTTATGAGGAGCGTTAGTGCAGCCTGTTAGTCTGGGGAGCCAGGTCCTCGCCTGGCTGCGAACAGAACCAGCACGTGCCAGGGCAGGTGGCGATCCCTGAGCAGAGCCACGCAGCCACGGGCTTTGGGAAGGCAACACATCCCGCCCGTGGCACTCGCACCCCTCGGATTTAGCAGCCAAGCCAGCAGCGAGCCCAAATCCTGGGTGTGTTTGGACTGCTCAGCCTCACCCGTGGGTCAGTGCAGGTCCAGAGCTCCCAGCACTGCCAGCCCCACAAGGCTGGGGAGCGTCGGCGGTGCCGCCACAAAGCGCCGAGGCTGGGTCAGGAAATCAGCCATAAAACCTGAGCTGGGTTTAGTTTCCTTCTCCATCTAACTATTTCTTCACCGTCCACCCCCTCCTGCTCCACCAGGGCTCGCCACAAGTAGGGGGCCAGCAATAGCCTTGCTGCACCCCAAATGTAGGTGGGAGGGAGCTGCAATGATGCCCTGGCTAATAAATCTTCCTGGAAAGCCAAAATCTGCATCAACTGTGACAGCTGTTTTTGCATCTCCCCGCGGGCAGTGCACCCTTGGCTGCTGGAGGGCTGTTTTATGTGCTTTTTTTTTAATTATGTTTTTTTTTTTTTTTAAAGGCTGCTTTTGGAGCATAAATATAAATATATAAGGTCATTGGCTTCCCCTCCCAGCTCCCCCTCCCCCTCGTGCCTGCAGACATGTTGGGAGCCATTAGTGATGGCCCCTGTGCTTAGAGGCATGTTCCTCATTATCTGCATTTTTAAAAGCAGCAATAAAAAGCAGAAAAATGAAAAACACCGGCCGTGGCCTAATGAAACTGTCACTCAGAGGGGCTGATCGTGCTTCCTGCCGCGTGGTGTGATCTGAAGGGAACCTGGACCAGGGGCCTGTCCCGGCAGCCCATCAAACACACCGCGTTCAATTTCAAAGCCCATGGCCCGGGGAACGACTTTGCGTTTCCCCTCACTGGAAACTTTATTCCCCTTGAAATGATGAAATATTTTGGAGGAAATGGGGAAGGGGCGGTGAAGGGGGCAGTGTGGATGGGGGGAGGGCTGTTTGCTGTGCCCGAGCCATAAAACAGGAAAGGCTGGTTATAAATATCCGAGCAGGTACCTCGGTGTAAATCTGCTGGCTGGGCATCCCCACGGGGCAGCTGCTGGCTCCAGAGGCTGAAGCACAACCCCTTGGTGTTCCCACGGTGGGGCTGGGGATGGGGAATCCCCCAGGGAGTGCAGGAGCTGGGCAGGTCCCTTCCTGTGAGAGGGGATTGCAGAGCCCAAAGGCATGAGACAGGCGTGGTGTGGTGGTGGGCTTTGGGTTGGTGCTGCTCCTAAAATCCTCTAGTGCAGTGTTTGATTTCCCCTGGAAAGGCGGACAAGGGGAGAGCTCACAGGGGTGTGCTGCCTCTGGTGGGAGATGCCTCCCCAGCAGGCACAATGCAGGGCATGGGGACAAAGAGGGAGACTTTGGCCAAGGACAAGAGGATGAGTGGTTTTGGAAACCCCCAAATCCCACCCTCACATGTGTGGTACCCAGGGTCTGAGTGCAGAGACCACCCTCCCAGCAACCAGACTGCTCTGAAGCTTCCCCCAGATCATGAGATGCTTTGGAGAGCTGCTGCACCCCCACACCCAGCAGGTCAGGGGCATCCTTGGTCCCAAACCTGCCCAAGTCAGACGCCGCACGCAGGGCCCCTCATCCAGGAGGAACCCACCAGCTGACACCCCCGGGGTCCTGAGCTCCCTGCTGGAGGAGAGCTCCCCACCCAGGCACAGCAACAACCCCCTGGGAGTGTCCTCAGAGGGGGGACAGGACGCAAGGGCTGTGGGAACAAACAGGAGAACGGCGGGGACCAGGAGCTGCCAGCAGCCAGGAGGGATTGGGATCCACCCTGGGAGCAGGCTGGGGGACAGCAGTGACATTAAAGCAGCAGTGAGCTGATGAGAGGAGGGCTTTGCTGGGGGCTCAGCCCCAAACACCCCTCGAGCTGGCAGGGAGCAGCAGGGGCTCAGGGGGATCCTCTGCCCGGAGGACGGAGCCGTCTGTGGAAAGCACGAAGGGTTTTCTGTTCAGGCACAGCAGGGACACGGGCAGCCAAAACCTCTCTTGCTTCCAGTTCCTTTTTCTTTTTCATTTTGCAGTAAGAACTCAAATGTCTCAAGCAATTGTGGACTTAATCACTCCCCAAATATAACATTTTTTAAATCAAAGCAGCTGTTAAACAGCACAAGCATATGAAACCAGTAAAACTTCTATCTCTGCTTGATGTTTTACAATTTGAAAACACACACAGGAAAAGGACAATTCTGGGGGTGGTTGAGTTGTCAGGTTGTTGGGGTTTTGGTTTTGGTTTTTTTTTTTTTTGCAAGACAATTGTTCTTGAGCCAAGGCCCCACAATACCAAGTTGGAACAGATTGCTGTGGGCAAACCTGCCCCCTCCACATCCCTCCTCAAAAGCTGCCAGCGACAGCGACAGCAACAATTCCCAGCAAGAGGACATCCTCACAGCTCTCTCTTCAGCAGCACAGAAGCAGGCAGGGACCCCTGCTCACACCCCAGCACATCAACCTGTCCCCAGGTGTCCCCTCAAGCACCACCAAGATCACTTGTGCTCCCTGTGGCTGTGCAGACACATCCCTGCACCTCCAGGTTCTGCAGCATCCCTCACACACGTGCTGAGCTTCCCTGGTCTCAACAAAAGGAAATCGCCCAAGGCTTGGGCAAAACCTTCACCAGGCCAAGGACAAGTCACCCAGGGAGGAAGAGGAGCCATCCCACACCCAGCCCCTGTGAGGGCGATGGCCTGACCCACCTATGCACGTGACCCCGTCCGAGTGCAGCAGGAATTTGACGTGGCAGCCGCACTTGGGCCCCTGGTCGGTGTCGTCGCAGGTGTGCTGGCAGCCCCCGTTCCCGTAGTTGCAGGTCACTGTGGGAGCAAAGCACCAGTGTCACCGTGGCCCCAGCTCCTCTTCCCTGCCCACCATCCATGTGTAGCACACAAAGCTGGCTGGAAACACCTCATCTGTACCCTCAGAGGCTTCCCTCCCTCCTTCCCTTCCTTCCTCCTTCCCTCACAGATAATTCCTAAAGCCCTTCATTTTTCCTGTGGGATATTAGCACATGCAGGCTGCTATGTGGTTTCTCATGTCTTCCCTCTGCATATCTGCTAAATGCCACCAGTGGAGTCCAAGCAAAAGGGACTGGTGGTCTGCTTGACCCTGACCCTGAATCCAGTGCTGCAGGGGAGGGGTGAAGCTTTCCTGAGCTTTGGAATGACACAGGAGCTTTTGGGAATCCCTGCCAGCCCTCCCCAGAGGGCAAGGTGTGCTATTCATTTAGTTTAGGATTAAACCTGCATTTCATCAGCGATTTTACACATTTACTGCACACAGCAAATGAGAAACAAAATAAAAATAATTGCATAAACACACACATATCTATTTAATAACCCTGGCACTGCCAGTGGGATGCTGGCAGGAGATCAGAGAGCTGAGAGCACCACAACCCCCAGGGAGAGGATTCCTGCGCTCCTCACATGCCAATTGCACTCTCCTCGTTCACCTCCCCTTTGGAAAGTGAAACACTGGGACAAGAACAGGGGAAGCTGAGCCTCTGGGACCCCCCTTGAACTGCCATTTCAGCCTGGTCATGTAAGGACACAACATCCCAGAGCAAAGGGGGCTGCCAGAAGCATCGTCTGTAAGGGCAACAGAGCTGAGCATGCTGAGCTTCAGGCTCGATGAACCAACTGCTACCACGGGGTCAGGGCTTTGCTGCAGGGGCAGGAGGTGTCTGTGCCATGGGGACAGGGTTAGGGGGTCCCTGGGAGGTGGTATCCCCAGCCCTGCAGTGCTCCTTACGTTTGCAGTCCCGCTGGTTCTTGGTGAGCTCGAAGCCGGGGCGGCACTCGCAGGCGATGCCCCCTTTGGGGGTCTCCCGGCAGATGTGGGCACAGCCATGGTTCTTGTTCATGCAGTTCATGCCTTCTAAAGGAGAAAAAGAAGCAAAGAAATGCTCCAAAAGCTGCTGGCACTGGTCAGCAGTGGCAGAGGGACATCTGAGGCGGGATGGGATGGGGAGTTGATGGCAGTGGGGGGAAACCTTGTCAATGAGGATCTTGTGGGGACAGGATAACCCTGGCCAGCTCCTGGCGCAGAGCTGCTTGGGAAGGTGGACAAAATCACCTGGGAGCCTTCAGCCTTTGATTCCCTCCCACCTTGGGTGAGACCCTGCTCCCACACCTCTCGGTGGCTTTAAACCCCACTGAGCTCAAGACCCAGCACCTGCATCCCTGTCCCCAGCAGGAACCACCCACTGTGGCACCAGCAGGAAGGAGCAGCCAGCTCATCCCTCCTGGACACGCAAGGGATGGGGACACAGGAGATGCCACTGCAGCTGCTCAGCTGTCCTGGGCAGGGTGACATTCCTGGGGAGCTGGAGTGACCAACACAGCTGGGAAGGGGGAAGGAGGAAAGCAAAAACACTCAGCTGGCTTTGCCAAGCAGCAGAGATAAAAATCAGCAGAGAAGAAAAAAATCTCTCATTTCCTCCTATTTTGGCTAAGAGATTGCTCCAGACGGCAACAATTTAGAGTTGATTCCGAGATGAAGGGCTCGGTGCTGTGCAAGACCTGGCAGGGAAGATGTGTCTCAAGGTGGTGTGAGGACCTCCAGGTCCTTCCATTTGTCAATAAATTCCTCTGGGCATAGGATTAATGTCCCTGGCTCAGTATTGCTGTGCCTGGACAAGGGACCTGTGGGGGTTATGCTGCAGGACATTTATCACCTCTCCCAACATGCCTGCCATAGATTCACTTTCAAACCTGCCACACCAAGAACCCAGCAGCAGCAGCTAAACCCAGGCAGGAGAGGCCAGAGGTGACAGACCTGCCTGATAAACACAGGGATGGAGGGTGGCCCAGGGCGTGGAAGTGCTGAGCACTGACCTTCAGGGCGCTGGATGCAGGTGTGCTGGTTGTCACTGAGGAAGAAGCCCTCCCGGCAGAAGCACTCGTAGCTGCCCATCATGTTGACACAGGTCTGCTGGCAGCCACCGTTGCCCTCTGAGCACTCGTCCAGGTCTGCAGAGGGAAGGTGGCAGGGGGTGAGCACAGCTGCTTGGCACACCAAGGGGATGGGGACTGGGTGGCACAGATCTGCTTCCCCCCAGCTGGAAGGAAGGGGAATGCTTGACAGGGTGGGGGATGAAGGTAAAGCACAGCAGGAGTGAGTGCAGGGATCATACAGCCTCCCTGACTGATGGCCTCATTTTACAGAAGGGAACAGCAGACCACAGAGAAAGGGCTTTTCCTTGTCCCAGAAAACCCAAAGCACCCAGGATGCTCATCTGGGATGCTGGCTGCAGCCGGCCCCTGCTCCCAGCCCCTCAGAGCCTGTTGCCAGCTGGGGATGCCTGCACTTCATTAGGAGGAGCTGGGAAACCTTAGCCCAGAGCAGGGATAATTACTTGTAAGGAGACTCACATCCCCTGCTCTGCTGCTCGGCTGCCCTCACACCTGTTTTGGTTTAACAAGCCAAGGCTGCAAGGGGCTGAGACGTGGCCCCATGACAGCAGCAGTGCCCTCGCCCCAGGCTGCTCCTGCTCCAGCCCTGCAAAAACCTGCATTTAATGAAGACTAACTGCCCATTGCTCTCTCTAGAGGCTTTTTGGGGACAGTGGTCTAAGCTGAACTCACCAGTGCCCTGAGGTGCCAGAGCAACCAGGATGCCGGGCTCGGGCAGAGACAAATCTGTGCTGTGGCCGCCCCTTGCCCCCTGTGCCCGCGGTGCCGGGGCTGGGTGATGGTGTCAGGCTGGGAAGCGAGGGGCCCCATGCCAAAGAAAACGTCCTGTGAACTCGAGCGTTGCAGAGCCACGGCTGAGGGGAAAACTGAGCCCCGGCAGCATCACCGGGAACGCCGGGAGAGCGGCTGAGTGACAGCATGGCCAGGGGCTCCCGAACAGCCCCCTGCCCAAACAGCACAGCACACACCCACATTCCTTGCTTTTGGGTAAAATGGATGGACAGGTGGATGCCCAAGCAGTGTGGGTGCCTTGCACTGTGCCCCAGCCCCTGGCAAGGCTGAGGGTTCACTAAGAATTATCAAGGCAGGGCTGCAGCTCTAGTTGGAAGTGGCCAGGCAGTGGAGCCCAGGAGCACCCCACAAACTTGTTGTCTTGGAAAGGAGGTGTTGAAAACACCCTCTCACCCACAGGGCAGTGAGGCTGACACCTGGGCTGCAGCCAGGCATAAAGGGACATCCTCTGCGGTGGCAGGAAGCTCATGGCTTCCTTCAATGCTCATCCCAGCCAAGCTATGTCCTGCAGATGCCAATAACCCTCCTCAAATCCCCCTGCTTAGAACAAGGGCTTAATGTCTTGCAACTTCTCCTTCCAGCTCTGCTCAAAAATGAGGAGGCAGCCATTCAAACCCGATGGCTGAAATGAGACTCCACTTCTCTAATACCTGTTTTATTAAAGGCAACAGAGACGGGCAGAAGCCAGCAGGGCCTGTGTCAGGACGGGGGCTTGAATTCCTGTCCTGGTTCAAAAGGTCACCCAGGATGGGCAATGGAGGGGCCGGTGGACTCTGGTGGGCACGTACCCTGACCCTTCTGCAGCTCAGCTCCTGCCCATGGCACTGGCAAAGGCTGGGCACAACACGCTGCTTTACTCTACTTCTCTTTCTTTTGACTCAAAGGGGATGCAGGCAGGTTGGGTCGGGATCAGAGATGAGATGCTGGGATGAGCTAAGGAAGGGCTCAAGGTAGGAGCCAGCGTGCTCCCCCCAGATCCCTGCCTGGCCGGCTGCTCCCCAGCCATCTCCGTCCCCTCCCACCCAACTCTGTAAACACATGACGTCCAGCTTTCCTTTCTTCTCCTCGGGCTCATCCTCCCCCGGGAGAGGAAGGCAGAGCCAGCCGCCCGCCCGCGCCTCCTCCCAGCTGTGTAAATCTCCCCCCTCCCCGAGGAGGCTGCAAAGATCCCGGTGATGGTGGTTAATGCAAAGCGTATGTGTCCATAATCCCTTCCCCCTCCTCCTCCTCCCAGTGATGAGCTCATTAATGACCCCTCTGCAGACACTAATTGGAAAATAGCATGAGCTGCAGGCAGAGGGGAGGCGGCGGCCCCGTGCCCCGGAGCTCCCACCGCGGATGCCGCGGGAGGAAGCGGGTGACGGGCGCGGGCAGCTCGATGGGCCCCGGGGCTCTGACGGGAGCTTTGGCTGCGCCGCGGCCGGATGGAGCTCGGGGCGGTGGGAAGTAGCAGGGAGGATGCACGGCCGCTCCGTAGGCAGATGCCGGGTTTGTCTTGGCCCGGGGATTATTTATCCAGTCCCTTCGCTGGTTCCCATCCCCACCACCGTATTTGCTATTAACTCATCTATTTTGGCAGGTGCAGGGCTGACCTCAAGCACGAGCGGAGCGAGCGGCAGGGCCCGGCTGAGCTGGTTCTGCCCTCGGCAGCGGCACGGAGCTGCTGGCCCGGCTCTTGCCGTGGCAGGGCACGGCTGTGGAGAGCCTGTTCCTCACCCCACAACTCCAGTTTTGCCTCATCTCAGCCCTCCCAGTCTACAGATGGACCCACAGAGCAAGTTTTCCTCCCAGCACAGAGCATCCTCCCCTGGCATCACCGCGATGTAACGGGGAGCAACCCTGTCCCCAGCGAGCCACTGCAGCACAGGACATGCCTGAGTGCCACCACGTTTCCACGGCTCTACAGCAGATCTGGGGGCGTTGTGTCCTGGGAAGTGCCCAACAAGGAAAGCCAGCAGGTGGGTGTTAAGGTGCAGGGGCTGACATCCCTCACCTAGGCAGTTGTGGCCGTCGTGTGCCAGGCGGAAGCCGTCGTAGCAGGTGCAGCGGTAGTTGCCGGGGATGTTGACGCACTCGTGCACGCAGCCCGCGTTGTCCTCCCGCTCACACTCGTCAACGTCTGCGGAGGAGAAGGGCAGGAGAGCTGCAGGCTGCCCCGGGTGCTGCCCACCATGGGCGCTGCTCCCCAGCTCCAGCATCTTTGCCATCCAGGTAATGTGCCCTGGGGTCTTCTGCTCCCTCGGCCGATACCAGCAGCAGGTCCTCAGCTCCATTATCACCTGCAGCATCCCTCCAGAGTCTACAAAATCATCCCCACTCTCCCCAGTCTGGATGCTGGAGCCCCAGCTAGCCCAGTGTCTCACAGCTTTCGCTTGGGAACCTCCTGGGATTTCCCAGGGTGCTGGCAGAGCAGCCCGTCTCCATGGCAAAGCCCTGCAGTGCCTGGAGCACTTTAATCCCTCTGCTATTTGTACTCGGCCCATCCTGACCCTGAACCTGCTTCCAGCTGGGAATTTTTCCCCTGCCCCAATCCTGCTTTTCTGCTGCTGCTGCCCCAAGGAGCCCATTTTCTTTCCATTCCCTACTCAGTTGTTTCTATATATAGATACATGCCTACACCTATATCAATATCTAGATTTACACCTATATCTACATCTAAATTGATATCTACACCATCTATATCTCTGTTTCTATGTCTTATTTTGAAGTTTGTGTTTTATCTGCTAACACACTTCTGCAGCCTCAGGGTCAGAAATCCTGCAGGAAAATAAGCCCAGCTTTGTTTAAAACAAGCTCCATGTGACCCTCCATGGGCAGCCCCAACCATGTCAGGACAATGCCTGCCAGCATCACCAGCAAGGACAGTCAGAGACCTCTCTGTCCCCATGCACTGTCAACAGGCCAGGAATTTGGGGCAGAAAAGGGGAATAAAAGGTTTACAGTGGGCCAGGGTGAACAAGTGGCTGTTTGGCATGGGCCAGTGCTGACGAGCCACTGCTGGGGCTGTCACCCAGCAGGACTCTGGCTCTGCCACTGGCGTGTCCCTACCTTTGCAGTGCTTCCCATCCCCGGTGTAGCCGGACTTGCAGATGCACTTGTAGGACTTGGGGGTGTTCTGGCAGATGGCATCGATGTGGCAGTTGTCGGTGCCCTCCACGCACTCGTCAACATCTGCAAGAGGACAGGTGAGGGAGCAAAGGGGAGAGCGTAGGACCTCCACCCGTGTCCCCACAGGAGCCACCACCCCAGGTGATGGATCCCAGCAGCCTCTGGCTCCTAAACCAGCCCTGATGATGGGCTCTGGACATGATGAATCACTGGGTCCACTCCCAAACAGCACAACCTGTGTCCCCTCTTGGACATGTCACCCTGAGACTCCCTGGCCTTTTCATGTGTCTGATGATAGGAAATGCTGCTCCAGCACTCCTAGTCCAGGCTGGAGCCAGCCCAGACAGAGGTAAAAGTCTCTGTCTCCAATTAGCTGTTTCCTGAGCCGACCAGGCACCCAAATAATCATCACCACTTTCTATTCTTAGGTGCCAAGGAATGTACATGAATTAGCAGGGACCACGCTAAATAAACCTGGGAGCCAGGAGTGAGAAACAGGAGGGAGAACTGCAAAAAACATCAAGGCTTCCATGGGGATATGTACAAAATTTGCATCATCCCCATCCCCCTTTGCCCCTCAACCCCCTTCTCTGGGGTGCAGTGCTGTGGTAGCCAGGACATCACATCCAGAGCTCCACATGCTGGCAACGGCCTCAAGCAGCAATGCCCAAGGGTTTGCTGTGACAGGAGGCCGTGGGAATGGAGGTTTTAATGGTATTTGGGAAATGGAGAAGCCTCAAGCACGTGGAGTGGAGGTTTGTGAGCAAAAGGCTGTTCAGCTGGCTCTCACTGCCTTCCCTGCTCTGGCAGTCAGGGAGATGTGGTGTCCTGAAGCGGGCACATCCCCTCCGTGACTGCAGTGCCCAGAGATCAGGCTGCTGAGGGGCAGGTGGGGCTGAGCATCACCCACAGCCCCCAGGTACGGGCAGGGCTCCCAGAGCAGCCCAGGCTCCAGCTCCACGCGGGGAGCATCAGCCCTGCTCCTGGAGGGATTTGCCTCCACCTCCTCCCACGGGGATAAGAAGCTTCTCACTGGTGAAGTGTGACCTGAGAGTCCCTCCAGCTTCCCTGTACCCCCTCAGGAGGAGCGTGAAGCTTCAAAGCTCTCATCTCCCTTTAAAATACTGCTTATCAGCAGCCCCAAGAACAGGAGTGCTCCAGGAGCTCCCCAGGGACCCAAAACATCCCTGCGGGCGGGCGGGACAGGGGCCACGGCCGCGGGAACCCCAGCCCTGTGGCGGCCACCCCGGCGGCTCTGCCGGGAGATGTGAGTCACCCGGGAGGAGGAGGAGGAGGAGGAGGAGAGCTTTGTCCCTGCATCAGGGAGGCGGCACGTGCCTGCGCATTGTATAAATATTTACAGCCCGCATTCATATTTGTTATTTGACATTAGCCATGGCCCGCGGCCACCACGGCCTCCCTTGGGCCATTAATCACCGGCTGGAGGCTGACCCACCACGGTGGGGACGTCAGGGACTGCACGGGGACCAGGGCCCTGCTCCTGGCTGGCACCTACAGCAGCCGTGGCACCACGGTGCTGTGGCATCAATCCCTGCCTGTGCCAGGGCAGCCATGGGCCACTTGTCCCTCTGGGGAGCTGAATGTGGCTGCTCAGCATCCCAGTGACTTCACCCCAAGCTCCTGCATCCCTCACTGCGCTCCCAGAGGGGTGTTGGGAGGTGGTGGCACTGGAGCAGGGGGATGTGGGGGGATGCCAAGCGCTGGCCACAACGGGCATGGGAACTCAGCAGCAGCAAAGCTGATGCTGACCCAAAGTCTACTGAATCTGCAGGTCCTGGTCGCCTTCAAGTGCTCCCCCAAAGTTATAAATCGCCCTGTGATGCTTCGAGTCATGGTGCCAGGGTGACAGTTTCAGGTCTGGCACCCCGGGCACCCACCCTGGCACTCAGGTGGGAACCAAAGAGTACAGACCATCCATCAGCCCCCATCTCCTTCCCCTCAAAACGCTCAGAACATGAAGCATCCACCAGGCATAAATCACATCATTGAAACTTTCTCAGCCTTTTGCCAGGAATCTCACTTTTGGGGGAATTTTATTTCCTATTTATTTTTCCTTCTGCACTCTCAAACTCAAGACCACGAACAACATGCATGAGGCACCGAATGCACACTCATACATGTGTAGCATCTTTTTTTTCCTATCTTTTTTCCTTTTTCCCATCCTGTAACTTCAAAAGTTGTCTAACTTTGGAAAGATTACACAGCAGCGAAAGTACAAAAGAAAACATTATCAGTTTTCCACTCTAATTTTTCCAAAGCTAGAGTCATTCTGAAAGGTTACAGGATTCTAAAAAAAAAAAAAAAAAAAAAAAAAAAAAAAAAAAAAAAAAAAAAAAAAACAATCCATCAGCCCCCATCTCCTTCCCCTCAAAACGCTCAGAACATGAAGCATCCACCAGGCATAAATCACATCATTGAAACTTTCTCAGCATTTTGCCAGGAATCTCACTTTTGGGGGAATTTTATTTCCTATTTATTTTTCCTTCTGCACTCTCAAACTCAAGACCACGAACAACATGCATGAGGCACCGAATGCACACTCACACATGTGTAGCATCTTTTTTTTCCTATCTTTTTTCCTGTAACTTCAAAAGTTGTCTAACTTTGGAAAGATTACACAGCAGCGAAAGTACAAAAGAAAACATTATCAGTTTTCCACTCTAATTTTTCCAAAGCTAGAGTCATTCTGAAAGGTTACAGGATTTTAAAAAAAAAAAAAAAAAAAAAAAAAAAGAAAAGGAAAAAAAAAGAAAAGCCCCAAAAATTGTGTTTGTGGGAAGAGTGAATAAATACCCTCTTGGGCACTCCAGGAGCCATCCTGGGATTGGCAAAGATCCCAATTTTAGAATGCTGAAATTTTGGCTCCTCAGTATCCTTCAGAAATGATGTAGTGAATTAAAGTAAAACACTCTGAAAAACTCAGTTTTTAGCATTTTTGTCAATGCAAGCAGCATTTTCCCATGAAAGGGAAGGTTTTCTCTCAGGCCAGCCCATTTTTCCTGCAGAATTTTCTCCATCCAAAAAGCTGCCTGTGACCTCACTGCAGGTGCTCTGAGTTGCTGCCACCATGTGAGAGGGCTCATCTCCAACACAAGTGAAGATTTAATTTTTTTTTTTTAATAAAAAACCCTTACTGATGCTCCTGTCCCTATTTGCCCTCAGTAGTTCCTCACTGGGCTGTGCCCAGCTTGTCCCCCTACTCCAGGGGTCCTGCTCCATTCAAGGTCCCAAATCCCAGTGGGTTTTTTGGAGAGTTTCCCAGTCCCCCTGCAAACCTGTACCCCTACACCCCCTCCACTTCTCCCTTCCACAAATAATCAAAACCCAGTGTTTTCCACCCTAAACCTCCTGAAAGGAGCCCAAACCGGGCGGTGCAGATGGGCGCACCGTGCCTCAAACCCCCGGCACCGGCAATTCTGCACCGGGAATTTGGTTTTCATGAAGATGTTGGGTCTTGCTGGGGACCACATCTCCCTGGGGCCGACCAGGGCTGCTCGGAGGGCAGCAGCATCCCCGGCTCGGCCACGGCCGGGGGCTGCGGGGAAGGGCAGGAGGTTGCGGCGCTCGCCCCGCGCCTCGGGCCATGTTTTTTATTCCGTTGTGGGTGGGATTTTCCAGCGCTGGCTGTTGGGCCCCGTTCCGCTCCAGCTGCAGCTTTATTCTCCATTTCAAAGGCAGCGGAGGCAGACGGTTTCAACGCCACTGCCATTTCGAGCGTGCCAAAAGCGGGGGGACCGCCACCTCCCCGGGAGCGGCGCGCACCCACCGGGAGCAGAGGGGCTGTGGCACCTCTGTGCCCTGCGGTGTCACACCCGACAGCGAGGAGGGGCATAAAGCAACAGCTCGTATATTTTTAGAGCCTGGATTGAGGCTCTTTCCTCACTTCCTTATGTTGTTTTAAAAAAAAAATAATAAAAGATGGTTTTAGCCCTAGGCTAAAAGGTCTAATAAATATGAGGAGGGGGGGTGAGACAGGACAGCAAAAACTGGCCTGAAAAATCCTAAACAAACAAACCCACTATCCTTTTTCCCCTCTCCTGCAAGTGCTTCAGCTTTTTCTACAAATTAATTTTATTCTTTGTTTTTATATAGGCATATATATTAACAGCCTGTCTGTATGGGGATGTGTGTGTAGCTGTTGGCAGACACGCGGAGTTTCCACTCGGCCTTAATGCCAAATTAAAGCTTTATAACTTCAGTAGCTCCTTTTACCAGGGTATTAATAACCACCTCAGACACTGTGGTGCAGTTTATTAATCATTTGTTCGTCCAGGGAGCTTGCAGGGGTGACTCGTGCTGCACCACAGCAGGACTGGCTCAGGGCATGGCCACGGGCAGTGGCAGCCCCTGGGGGGGAATATGGGCCAGGAGAGGGAGGAGGATGCTCTGCAGGGCAGCCTTCTGTGCTAAAGAAGTGTCATCTGCACTCAGAGATCCTGACTCAGGGGCTGGGTGATGTCCTGCTGCCAGGATGGGGGTCCCTGGGCAGGTACCTGTGCTCAGGATGGCTCAGAGGGGATGTGTGCATCTCACCATGCAATGGAGACCCCTGCACAGCCCCGTGCCCTGCACGTCCACCCAGCTTTCCCAAAAGCAGGTGGGACACAGGAGGTGCAGCCCCAGCCCTTGGCCCTGTGCAATGATGGAGTACAGAAGGAGGAGGAACCACAAATCACAGCAAAGACCTGGGACCATTCCCAGCCTGGTGACCTTCCTGCCCAATGCCCAGACCCTGCCCTATAACCCTCACCATGGGTTCTGCTTCCCCAAAGCTGTTAATGACCCAGAAAAGGGTTTTTTTATCCCCCTCACTTATGCTTCCCACTGCCATAAGGGCAGAGCCAGGTTGAGCTGTCCATCCTCTGCAGCAGCCCGGGTCATCCTGATGGATCCCAGCTCCACCACCATTCCCTGGGTAGGAAATGTTCCCTCCACCTCCATCCCACCTCATCGTGCCAACCCTGGTCACTTCAACCCAATTCCATCAAATCCCACAGAGGGTTTGGTGCTCCATACCAGCAGCCTGTTCATCTCCCCATGGAATTGTCATTGCTGTTGTTGTTCTTTTGACTTGTTGGACTGACCCAGCCTTGCCTTAAAAAATGTGTTTGTTTTTTGCTCTGGGAGCAACAATCTCAAGATCTCCAGCGGGGACACGGCCTCTCCAAAACACAGCCAGGCATCCTCCAGTGCTGCCAGACAGAGCAAACTTTATTTGCCATCTCAGGCTTCTCCTAAAGCCTCTCAGGGGACTTAGAATTTTGAAAGTGAATGCTAAGGTCAATCATGCATACTGTTTTCCTAAACGGAGTACTCTGGTGTGGCTGTCTGCAAAGGAAAAAAACCTATATAAAAATAAAAGACAAGAACCCCCAAACTCCTGAGCAGTTTGGAGAGAGCAATACATCGGCACTGGAAGACTCAAGGTGTCTGAATATTTATACTCCAGTTGGCAGTTACAAAAAAACTCTTCTTCCCTCCTTCCTACCCACCCCCTCCCCTTTTTTAATCTCGGTACAGGCATGTTAGACGTCCTCAGTCAAAGATCTCCTTTGAACTGTGTATGTGAAATGTTTACAGTTTTACATTTCATATTTCAGCGGGGCGGAGGGGACAGGCACAACAGTCACACACTGTGAATGCTGGAGAGGTAGGAAGGCAGAGGCCAAGGGGGAGGAGGTTTGGCTGCAGTGGGAGGGGAATCAAACAGCATCTCCACGCTGCAATTGGAAAATTTTAGACTCCTTAAAAAAATACAGAAAAATAATCCCTGGCGGCGTGGGCTTTGCAGGTGCATCGCAGCACACCAGCCCCACACGTGGGACAGTGGCCAGGAGGGCTGGTGTCACCATCAACCATCCAGTGCCAGTGGGCTGGGCTGAGGCTCTCATCCCACCCAGGACCCTGAAATGGGGTCGTGGGAATGCCAGGAGCTGCAAACCGGGGTGCTGGGGTCTCCCAGGGATGGTGAGATGCTGCCTCTCCCTCCTGGCCCCACAGCACAGCATCATCTCAGGGGATGTGTAATTAGCTGCAGGGGCAAGTGGCAAATCCTGGGATGTGTTCCCAGCGATGAGGGTGCTGCCAGAGGGGCTGGCACTGCCCAGGAGGGCTCAGAGCTGCCAGGCCCTGGGCTCTGTCCTCCCAGCATCAGGGAGGGACCGATGCTGGCAGACAGCAGGTGAGGGCACTGCTCCACCCAGAGCAGGAGGTCAGGACCAACTCTTCTGTCTGGAAGGCTGTGGGATGGACTGACAGACAAGAGGACTGGGGGTGACATTATCTACCCAAAACCCAGAGGAGTGGTGGGCACAGCAGCACGTGGGCAGCTTGGCCTGCGGACCGCTGATGTGAATGTGTGTCAGGAGCCTCCCTATGGTTATTTAGATTTATACTGCCAGTTCTCCTCTTGAAAGCTTCCCCAGCCCTAAGCTGACTCCACAGCCAGCCAGGTCCACTGGCAGACACCCTCCAGGCCCAGCAGCCAGCTCTCTAAATCCTTCCTTCCCCACAGACTAAACTTTCTGGGGTAACTCAGTACAAGAAATGAGCCAGCAAGCCCGACCACGACACAATGTTATCCCATCAAGAAAAGACAGATGGGAGAGGAGCCCTTCCCAGCCAGTGAGTCACCTGGCAAGGGTGGCTGTCCCTCAAAAGGGCAAAGGTTTTGGGGTGATGTGTGCCCTATCCTTGGCGAGTCACCTGCAACACACACCTGATGCTTTTCAGAAATGACCCAGGCACACAGAGCGGGTCCAAAGAGCTCAGTGACCGTCAGAAAACCCAGGAGACAGCAGGTTCTGAGGAAAGGCACATGTTGTACCTGCCATCAGCGATGCCCTAACGATGCCCATGAGTTCAACCTCATCCAAAAAGGACCACCAGCACCAGGCCCACCCCTGCCCAGAGTCCTCACAGCCTCACAGACACCAACCTTTGCCTCTCTGCAGACACCTCCCCCTCCCCAGCCCGCAGAACCCCCCAGCTGCAGCCTCAGGGATCAATTCTCCAAGCTGGGCACCCGGGAGGAGCCGCGCTGTCCCAGGCGCACGGCGGGCGATGAACCCCGGCGCAGGATTGAGCTCACCTC